TTCGAGTGAGAATTGGGATTGGGGTTATATATATTCCTTATAATCAAACTTGTGAATGTGTCCTATAGCTCCTGGGACGAGCTTCCACTGTTGTTGTGTCTGTATAAATTACCTACTCTATATTCACACATGAGACTGTACGAGATTGTATGTAAATCTATATTCAGACAACAACGCGCACGTATGCGATAATTATACGCCTCTCTGGAGTCAGACAATCAACATAGCTAGCATAAATCTATCTATCTATATATTTATATTATTTATCTATCTATCTATCTATCTATCTATCTATCTATCTATCTATCGTATCTATCTATCTATTATCTATCTATCTATCATCTACTATATTCTATCTTATTTCTATCTATCTATCTATCTTCTATTTATCTATGAATCATCCATTATCCATCCATCCATCCAGTCGATTTATCATCATTCAATCATCAATCTATATTTATGATCTATCTATATATTATCTTCTATTTATCTATCTATCTTCTATGCTATTATCTATTATCTATCTATCTATCTATCTATCTATCTATTCGTATCTATCTATCATCTATCTATCTATTATCTATCTATCGTATCTATCTATCTATTCTATATATCTATTTCTATTATTATCTATCTAGTCTATCTATTTCTAGTATCTATCTATCTATCTATCTATCTATCTATCTAGGCTATCTATCTAGCTATCTATCTATATATTATCTATCTATCTATCGATCTTCTATCTAGTCATCTATTATCTATCGATCAGTCTATTATCTATTTTATATTATTTATCTATCTATCTTATTTATCTTTCTATCTAGTATCTATCATGCTATCAATCTTCTTCTAGTTATCTATTATTTCTATCTATCTATCTATCTATTCTATCTATCTATCGATGCCGTCGTTCGATCCGTACCGTCGTCCGTCCGTCCGTCCGTTCAGTCCGTCCGTTCGTTCCGGTCGTCGTCCGTCCGATCCGTTTCATAACCTATGTCTTATTTGTATATTCTTAGTCCACTCTCGCCTTATATATTATATATATTATTATTCTTATATATCTATATTATTTTGTGTGCGTTGTGTCTGCATGTATACAACGCGGATGCTACCTCCAGACAAAACGTATATAACGACGACAGACCAATCAATAATCACCAGGACCAAAACCGCTATACACAGCCATCATACACACCACGCACACACGACCATTCCAAAAACAGAACGATCGCGAGACCACGAATAAATTACCCTCACACATCACAACATCATCAACCGATATATACACACACTATACTCTCTCCTAATGTCGTAAACATCAACCTATTATATACGCACACTATACTCTCTCCTAATATCGTAAACGCATACCTTGCTAAACGCCGAGGGAGGAGGAGGGGGAGCACCAGCAGCAGGAGGAGGAGGTACGTCCAAATTGCAGACTTTTACTTTCATCGACGGTCGAGAGCGCGCTCGCTCGCACACAAACCAAACCAAGCGACCGATTCAACCAGCCAACAACGAACCGACCTTGCTTGCTGCTGCCACCGCGTCGCAGCTGCTACGCCTACTGACGGCCAGCCGACCTGCGTGTGCGCACTGAGAGAGAGAGAGAGGGGGGAGGAGGAGGGGGAGAGGGGGTGATGGCTCAGACCGCAGGCGGACGACGTCGAAGGACGGATTGTTCGACTCCATCTGCGCTTCGCTGAGTCGTAACAAAGGGTGCGCTGCAGCAGCAGCAGCAGCAGCAGCAGCAGCAGCAGTAGTAGTAGTAGTCGTAGTAGAAGCAGCAGCAGCAGTAGTAGTAGTAGTAGTAGCAGGAGTAAGATAATATAGGATATCCTATATTATCTTACTATTGGTAGTAGTAGTAGCAGCAGCAGCAGTAGTAGCAGCAGCAGTAGCAGTAGCAGTAGTAGTAGCAACAGTAGTAGTAGTAGTAGTAGTAGTAGTAGTAGTAGTAGTAGTAGTAGTAGTAGTAGCTAGGCGCAGCGCTAGCAGCAGCAGTAGCAGTAGCAGCAGTAGCAGTAGCAGCAGTAGCAGCAGCAACAACCACAACAACAACAGCAGCAGCAGCAGCAGTAATTAACACCAGTAGCAGCAGCAGCAGCAGTAATTAACACCAGTAGCAGCAGCAGTAGCAGCAGCAGCAACAACAACAACAACAACAGCAGTAGCAGCAGTAACACCAGTAGCAGCAGTAACACCAGTAGCAGCAGTAACACCAGTAGCAGCAGTAACACCAGTAGCAGTAGTAGTAGCAGCGGCAGCAGCAGTAGCAGCAGTAACACCAGTAGCAGTAGTAGTAGCAGCAGTAACACCAGTAGCAGCAGTAACACCAGTAGCAGTAGTATAGTAGCAGCGGTAGTAGTACTAGATAGATGGATGGGCGGGGGATGAATAGCAGCAGCAACGTCGACAGATATATAGCGCGAGCGTGCCATTTTCTATTATATATGGACTCTAGTCTTGATATATATCTATCGCGCGCGAAGTCGGTATTTATGCTCATCATTCCGCTTCGCCTTATTATTTTTGTCGGCAGACGACCGACCGTTCGCTCACCCCGGCACTTTGTTGCCTAGGAACCAGACGAAGGCAGCGGACAGTTATGTTTGATTACAGGTACGAATGTAATGTAATCGCCTTAACGCGGAGGAGGAGGAAGGGGAGGGGGACTGTTGTCTAACAGGTTCATATATACACACATATATATATATATATGTGTGTGTGTATATATATACACGTATATATATATAATATCAGAAGTCTATCAATAGTCTATTGATAGACTCCTGCTAATATATATATATGTACCTGTCGTAGTCGCTGCGGCAGCGAGGGATGAATGTAGGTCACGAGATGGGCAGAGCAGAAGATGAGCAGCCGAAAGGCGAGTGCGCATGCGCAGTAAGTACGCTGCCAGACGGCGGAACTCGGTGCATAAAATATGATTACGCGTATGTTATTTTTAAAGGGTTTCAACGTGCTTTTTTCAGGTTCGATAAATAAGGAGGTGTGTGTGTGTGTGTGTGTGTGTGTGTGTGTGTGAATAGAAGGAGTGTGTGCGTATGTGTGTGTGTATGTGAGTACAAAGTTGCAAGAATGAAAAAACAAACGTGTTTTGAATCGACGAGAAAAAAAAACTGAAGCGAAAATATATGCACGTAGACTCGTAGAGCGTATACGTAGGTCTAACGTTCACTGATTTACGCAATGAAATAAAAAATAGCATATATGTATAACCCGTAATGAAATCTATGATAATTAACTAGAGAATAAGATAATTATTAATCCCAAAGAGAAGGAATCGGATAGAATGTTTTTACATGAGTAGGCCTACATGTTTAACAAATGTAATCATGTGAACGTGTTGTTTTTCCCCACTTTACTTATCCTACGACAAATGACGACAAGTCGTAAAAACAAGCGAAATTTTAACTTTTGCACTTTTTTCTATTACAATTTCGGAAAAACATTATCAGCAAGAACGCCTAGAGACCGGTCGGTTTAGCTCCTCCAACTTATATCGTGACGTCAGACCACACACGCACGCACGCACGCACACACACAGACATATATATCAAGAGCTCATAATAGAGATTATGTATTATAGACATAATATCAGGAGTAGATAATATCTTCTATTATCTACTCCTGATAATATCTCTATCCCTGCTGTAAACGCTTGCACCAAATATCGTT